ACTTCTGTTATGTGCAAGAACGATTGATGAAGGGTTAGATCACGTTATGATTGCTCTACACAGACTTAAGAGACCGTTTTCACACGAGTTGAGCATGTGACCACTTAATCATATGGTGAAAAGACTCTTGTCGCTACTCCAAGGCTCCCTTTCACTTCTCTACATCTTTGAATAGGAAGAAAAAAATATTACTAGCTACTTCATCAAAATATTATAGATATCTTATGCATGACCTGATAGTTTAAAATATTTAATTGCATAATTTGTTTTTTAAATGGGTGGATTTGTAATTTTGTTTTCAACAATCGAACTTATGCTTAGTGAGGCATACATTATTTAAGGGCACGAGACATAATGTGTGAGAAATATATTCTAACGCAAAAATATAGATTTATTCCCCCACAAATAATTATTTACCTTGAAAGACAAAAATTAAAAATCACAAAATATGAGCAAAAGTGCAAATTAAAGACCCTGTTTAAAATTGTATATGAGTTACACTTTGAAAAAATGTACTTAATTCCCGTTTTAAATTATCTGGCATAATTTAACTCATCATGAAATTTAAAAAGGAAATTTTTTTTTAAAAAAATTGAAGTGAATTAAAATGTATTTACAGAATTCAAATGCATTTTTGGTAAACACATGATAAGTCATTGCTTAACCTAATCTACAAATAAAGCTAAAGAGAAAAAAGAAAAAAAACGACAAAAAGAGGAAGAAAAAGTCTCATTTAAGTACACGACAAACTAATGGCATAACTAAATACACAACTTATTTTGCGGTATATATTCTCTAAAATTCTCTATCATTTAAAATTTAAAAAATCCCACTCTCTCCTATTTTTAGGTACATCACTTTACGCGATGTATCAATCGGATACATCACTTTACGCGATGTATCGAAGCGAACGCGACGTATCGAGACGTTGAGTGATATATCCGAAAATGATACGCAATGTATCGGGACGTTGAAGGATGTATCCCGATTTCACCAAATTTAAGGGATTTTTATAATTTGGAAAAGAGTAGGATAAAATGTAATTAGTTCTTAACACTATGAAATTTGTGTAAAATTCTCTTTTTTAATAACAATAACATATTTAGTATAATTTTATAAATAGAATCTGTAAAGGGTAGGACATACACAAATTTTACTCATACTTTTATGTAAATAGAAAAATTATTTCCAATTGACCCTTGATTCTACGGGAAAAATTTTTTCAAAGTTTGATAACAAGAAAATATGGACAGCAAAAAAGCAAGTGAAGTAAGTAACAAGAAACGATACACAAGAAGGAAAAAAAGAAAAGATGTGATTACTGAATAATACTACAACTAAGGAGAAGCGTAGGTAGAGGAGGCTATCCTCGTATATTTTTCACACAAAACACGATAACAATCGACTATATCTGTTAATCTTTTAGTCTAATTCTTGTTCTCACTTCTCCGACCCTAATTTTTATCTAAGTATCTTTTGGTGATATGACTTTCGGATGATTTCTTTTTGAAATCTTTACAGAAACCTTTGTAGGAGTTGGGACAGAAGTACGTACAGTCTCAACATTTTTAGAGCTCATTTTACGCATTTAGGGGTCAATTTATAGGAATTAGGCAATTTTCTCAGTTTTTCGTGTTTTAGCCCATAAATATTTTGGTGATATGGATGATTTCTTTGTGAAACCTTAACGGAACCCTTTGTAGAGAATTGGGGGAGCAGTACGTACGGTCTCTCCATTATTTTTAAGCCCATTTTGGGTATTTAGGGGTCAATTTACAGGAATTAGATGATTTTCTCAATTATTTGTGTGGTAGTCTATGAATATTTTAATGATATGACCTACAGACAATTTCTTTGCGAAACCTGTATGGAACTCTTTGCGGGGAGTTAGGTGAGCAGTACGTACAATCTTACCATTTTTACATTTTGGACATTTAGGGATTAATTTACAAGAATTAGGTGATTTTCTCAGTTTTTCGTGTTTGTTAGCCCATGAATATTTTAGTGATATGACTTCCGGATGTTTTCTTTGTGAAACCATTACATATTCCTCCGTAGGAAGTTGGAGGAGCAGTACATACAATCTCACCATTTTTAGAGTCCATTTTGGGCATTTAGGGAATAATTTACAAGAATTATGTAATTTTCTCTGTTTTTCGTGTGTGTTAGCCCATAAATATGTTGGTGATATGGCTTCCGGATGATTTCTTTGTGAAAACATTACATATTCCTCCGTCGGGAGTTGGGGGAGCAGTACATACAATCTCACCATTTTAGAGTCCATTTTGGGCATTTAGGGGACAATTTATAGGATTTATGTAATTTTCTCAGTTTTTTGTGTGTGTTAGCGCATAAATATTTTGATGATATGGCTTCTGGATGATCGATTTCTTTGTGAAACCTTTACAGAACACTTCATAGAAAGTTGGGGGAAAAATACATACAATTTCACCATTTTTAGAGTCCAATTTGGACATGGGCCACTTTAATGGAATTAGGTAATTTTCTCAGCTCTTCTTGTGTGTTAACCCATGAATATTTTAGTAATATGGTTTCTGAATGATGTCTTAGCGAAACCTTTATGGAGCTCTCCTTAGGGATTTGGGGGAGCACTATGTACAATCTCACTATTTTAGAGTCCATTTTGGGCATTTAAGGGTTAATTTATACGAGTTAGACGATTTTCTTAGTTTTTCGTATGTATTAGCCCATGACTATTTTGATGATATGACTTCAAGACAATCGCTTTGCAAAACCATTATGGAACACTCCGTAGGGAGTTGGTTGAATAGTATGTACAATCTCACCATTTTTAGAGTCCATTTATGACATTAAGGGGTCAATTTACAAAAAATAGGTGATTTTCTCAATTTTTTGTATGTGTTAACCCATGAATAATTTTGTGATATTGCTTCCGAATGATTTCTTTTCTAATAATAAATACGTGATAAGTTTATGCACATATATTTTTATATAATTTTGATATTTAGAAACATCTTTTCAAAATATAGATCAATAATAAAATAACAAAATTTAGAAACATCACTTAAATTCTCCTAAATGTCCTTGTCAACAAATCAAATTCAAGGGTTCTTTTGTCTTTTTGATAAAATTGCCCTACTATTTAACTTTACATTTGTTTATTCATTATTCTTTCTAAAGGACATTGGCAAAAATAAATTAGCACACAAGAGTCCACCTCTATCACTTCAATTTATCCCCCAAATTCCTTTTATCATCTTTATCATGGAGGTAAGAATTTTATTGATTTGTTGATTTGATTGAGTTGTAATTTATTTTTCATTTTTATTCTTGATGCAAAGTATAAAAAAGATTAATAAACAAATAAATATATGTGCTAAAAAATTAATAAGAATGTTTACTATTTGATTATCAAGATCGAGTGTAGCAAAAAGGATAAACGAGAGATGAAAAGAATTGAAAACGAATGTTTGTGAAATTGGAATAGAGATGCATTTTAGGAAAGAAAGGGGATCTATATGTTTGCGTATATACATTTTTTTTGTATAGGATTTTGATCGAGCACAACTTGTGATGTGCGTGTTAGATGTATGAAAATGAGTTACAATTTTGCCGGTGACATAGATCTGGTAATAAAGTGAAGGAGAAGCAAGGCGGACACTCCAACTTTGATCTTTATGGATTTGTACCAAAATCGAGTCGTAGACAAATGAATCTAATCTTAACGGGGTCCATCAATATCCGAATTTCATATATGTGTCATCGACTTTCAAAAAAAATTCGATTATCAATACACACACTCCTTATCCATTTGTCATATTTTATTTCATTTTGAGCTAAATAAATAAGTATTTCGTAAGATTTTATTCAATACCATCGATACAAAAGGTACATTTCAAGTGATTAGGTAAAAAGCATGATTCAAACCAACAATTTTCAGCTCATGGACCTGATGAGTCGACTAATTCGTTTGCTCATCACTTCACATTCTATTTCTTTCACTATTTTCTCTGAGGATTCCAATTTTGCTCGTTTGGTCAAGATAAAAATAGCGTTCGTTATGTCTAATGATCCCTTTGTATAGGTCAGAACTACCTTATAAATTATATCATTAAAAAACTTTATGTATTTGTATTTAACTCTTACAAAAAATTTAGTACTTTAATCAAGTACTTCGAATCGCTCACAAAAAAGTAGGGTTTACGTCCGACTCCTAATTATCATATCGAGTCAAAATTTTTGGTATAACAATTTCAATATTATAGTATTTGATATGTATTTTAATTTTAATTTCTTTGAATATTCAGTACGATATATAGTATATAAAATAATCAGTGAATATAATACCAAAATATATCATTGTATATAGAATAATTTATTTATATTATCATAATACTAGCAATTACATAAAATAGTATCCATACAAAACTAATTATTCATATGTTGAAACTTTGACTACTCTAGCTTGATTGAAATGCCATTTTCATGTTATTGATTAAACTATGAATTTGCTTGTACTTTCTTTTAAATATTTATACTTGTATAAAATGTTAGCAAAGTATAATTGAGATGATTTATGAGAAATCAAAGTCATAATTCTTTATTATAATATAACTATATAAAAGTCGAAGTCAAATAAATTATGATTATCAATTTATAATGCCACAAAATATCAAAACCAAACTATAAAATAGTGAATCATATCACATTAATTTAATATAATAAAAATATAGTCTTTTTTCAAAATTTAAAATCAAATTATCGAATCGAAATTTTCAAATACCTTAATAAAAAACATAGGTAAACACAAAGTCAAACACGCGGCTAACAAATGTGGGTCCTGAGAAAAATTAGATACTGATCCAATTTCATCTGAGAAATTAAAAAAAATTAAAATTAAATTAATAAAATAAAAATAAAAATTCCAAGTCATCCGACAACCGTCTACTTGCCAATTCGGTCAGCAAATTTTTTCTTCACTTTCCTCTCTTTCGTCTTCACAAAAAAAAAAAGGGTAGAGAAAACATTAGCACAAAATAAAAATAAAAATCTTACCTTTATGAAAGGGAAAATTTTTTGAGAGCCCATTTTTTTCAAATTTTTAATTTCTCTTCAAGACCCTTTTTTTTGTTGTTTTTTTTGGTTTTCAAGAACTAATTTTTTTGTTTATTGATTTAGCTGTTGTGGTTATTTTATCAATCAATTAAGGAATTTCAGGCAGGTAATTTCATTTTTATACTAACCCCAGATCTTGTTTTATGTTCTTTATGCTATATGTGTATGCTGTTTTAGCTATTTTTGTATTTTTGAAGGGATTTGAGAATTTGGGTGTTTGTTGTTTTTGTTTGATCTAATGTTACATGCTCAGTTTTGTGTATTTAGTAGCAGATGTGCTTTGTTTGCTATGAATATTGGTAGTGTTTGATATAAAGTTAGAAACTTTTGTTAGTGTTTTGATTTGAAGTTAGCTGATGTCCTGTATTTGCCCTGTTCTTGAAGGTATAAATGTGAAATATTGTTAATTTTTTGGATGATTCTTGTTAGGGTTTGGTATAAAGTTAGTAATTTCTTGTTGATACATGACCAATTGGTAGTATTAATGTTTGTTGTTGGTAGAGTTCATGGCACAGTTTTTTTTTTTTAAAAAGAGAGTGTAGTACATGCACCATCGGATATTAGTAGAGGTGTGTTTGATAAACATTTGGTTGTAGTTCAGGTAGGAAACTCGCACATCTAATAATTCAGGTATGAAACTCGAAAAATCGGTATACTTTAGGTGTGTTTTGACACTTCACTGTTCAACAAAAAAGTCTTTTTTTTTTCTTTGGAGTAATGGAAGTTGGAACTAGAGAGAAAGAAAAGTAAATGTTAGCTTGAATGTGTTAGTTTTTGGAAGTAGGAGATATCTGATATCGGTGGTAAGATATGTTTGCTTGTACTTGGAAAGATATGGTGTTCTTTTTCTCCCAGTTTAAACAAAAACAAGTTTTTTATACTTTTTGTTAGATATGTTTTTATGTTTAGAACAATGAGGTAATATATCTTGTGATTTATTTCTTTGTTTCTTTCGAGGGAAAGACTTGTGAACGAGTTCAAAATTGTGTTTTAGAAGTGAAAATGCATTTGAAGCATACTGGATCAGACATTGGTTTTGTTTGTTTTCCGTTTAGCACATATCTGAACATTTGCTGATGGGAACCTTTTGTGACTTATTTTGATCACCAGCGTCGCGGATTAATGCTGCCTCCACGCCAACAACCACGGCCTGGCGGACTTCAGACGTCTTTATCCTTGGTCGTCTCTCCTGATGCCTGTGGATCTCCTAATCCTCAAGAACGTGGCTCAACCTCTGATCAGGCTCGTGACTCACCATCTGAAAGTGCTAGCTCACGCGAAACTTGGCCAACATCTGATGCTTTGATGGCAAAAAAGCTGGAGAAGGAGAAAGAGAATGGCTATGCTGAGCACTCTGTTGTCCGCAATATGTCAAACTCAGACAAAATTTCCCTTCGAGACATTGCCCGAGAAAGAGTTGACGTTATAGCTGACAGGATGCGAAATCTCCCAGATGAGTATCTAGAGAAGTTCAAATATGAACTTCGGGTCATTCTTGAAGGGTCAGGTGGTGCTCAGCACAGAAATGAGTTTCAATTCCTCCAAAGGCTAGTGAATAGTAGAGGTGAGTTGACGGATGGAATCCTGTGTTTAACACACCGCACCCAGCTAGAAATTCTAGTTGCCATCAAGACGGGAATTCAGGCGTTCTTGCATCCCAGTGTCAGTCTCTCTCAAGCTTCTCTCATTGACATTTTCTTGTATAAGAGGTGCAGAAACATAGCATGTGGTAGTGTGCTACCAGCAGAGGAATGTAGCTGTGAAATTTGCTCGAAGAAAAATGGTTTCTGCAACCTTTGCATGTGTGTGATTTGCAACAAGTTTGATTTTGAGGTCAACACTTGCAGATGGATAGGTTGTGATCTCTGTTCTCATTGGACACATACGGATTGTGCCATTAGCAATGGGCAGATTGGAACGGGCCCTTCTGTTAAGGTTGGAGCTAGCTCAGCCGAGACGCTCTTCAGATGCCATGCTTGCAGTAGGACATCTGAGTTATTAGGTTGGGTTAAAGATGTGTTCCAGCACTGTGCTCCAAGTTGGGATGCGGAAGCTTTTGTTAGAGAGCTCGACTTCGTCAGGAGAATTTTCCAGAGAAGTGAGGATGCCAGAGGCCGTAAGTTATATTGGAAATGCGAGGAACTCGTTGAAAAGCTGAAAGGTGGTGTTGCAGACCCTATGGCTTGTAAAGTGATCTTATCCTTTTTCCAAGGTAAGCCTGACATCTTATTTATTGTCCTAACTTCTTTCTACACTATTTGTGATTGGGCCGTAGTTGATAACTGATTATTTGTTCTGGACCACACTTGAATTGGTCTGTCCAAGATTGAGAAAAGGTTGAAATGAAAGCTTGATGCATCTAACAAGAAATCAAATGTAGCAGGTTAATGATAATTTGATTATTGGTCCTCTGCTCTTTGTCTTCGTTGATCTATAGTTAGTGTTCTTTAGTAGGCTAGGTGGAATAAAAAGGTGTATTATTACAGTGGCGGAGCCAAGAATTTTACTAAGGGGTGTCACAATATAAAAAAAGTAGAGACATGTAGAAAATAAAGGGAGTCAACGTATTACTATATACTTAAAACTGAAATTTTGACCTAGCTAAACAATGTAATTTTCCGGCGAAGGGGTGTCAAATGACACCCTCTGATTGGATCATTTACTGTACCGAGAAGCTCGTGCAATGATTATCAAGTATCTTTATCTATTTGAGAAATAACAAATCATCTCTTCTAATATTGAACTTTTAATTACAATATACTCTTGGCTAAACTTCAACAGTTTTCACAAACCTATTAGCCATACATTTTTTTCAATCTTTAAAGCCTTTGAGCATTTTGCATAGATTGCTGGCCCTAGGTAATTGGAATAGTGGAGGGATAGGAGAAGAGTTGCATGCGCACAAACCAATTAGCATTTAGGACAAAATATTGAAAGATGGATCGTGGAACTTAGAAGTAGATGTAGATAGAAGAAAGTAGTGATGTTGAAAGGAGATGAGTTGCATGCAACAAAGAATACGGTTGTGAACACTAAGAGGCACAAATCAATTGCATTTAAGGACATGATATTGAATGATGTAGCATGGAACTTAGAAGTGGATGGAGATAGAAGAAAGTAGTGATATTTGAAGGCCTAGCACTAGAGGCGGAGCCAGGATTTTTAATTTATGGGTTCCAGATAACAATCCTTTTGGTTTACTAGGTTCTGAATAAATTATTTTTATATATTAAATGATTCTTTAAACACAAAGACAAGGTTTGAGCCTAAGCTACTCGGTTCTCCATTGTCTAGGGGCTAGGACCTTGACTATCGAAATCATGGGGGTGGAATGACAAAAGATTGTGAAACCTCTAAAGAGTATAAGAAGCTAAGGGAGAAGCTAAGAAATCTATTAGCAAATGAGTTGGCTAAACCTTGGCAAAGCTATTAGGGGCGTAGAAGGGGGAGAAAGAAATGTTTAAACTAGGACGGATGAGAGAGAATAGGCTGTCGATGTAAGTTAGTTTAAGTGTGTTATAGACGACTTGCATAAAATTTTGACAAGAAAGAGACAGATTCTGTATTGATCAGCTCGAATAATCTTTATAGATCTTCAAACATCCATGCAAATGATCAGGGTAGAGATAGACTGGTTTGGAGAGAGGGAGAAGAAGAAAGGAGTAGGAGAATGATGTTTTGCGAATTCCCGTCATGTATGAGGAGCTAAATTATCCTTTAATATCACAATCCGGTGGATATCGTTCCCAGATCAGACCAAGTTCACTCAGAGGCATTACCAGATTATAATTTTGAATCTGGCATAATCTGAAGACACTACGAGATAAATCCAGCCTAACCTAATATGTAGGCTAATCTTGCCTTCTAAATGACTTTAATGGTTATGGAGGACACTAATTGCCTATTTAGTAATTTAACTAAAGTTTTTTGAATTCTCCTACTACCTCATTCTTCGATTTTATTATTACATGTTATTTCCTCTGCTTCGATTATTGTACTATTTGTTGTTATTACTGTTCTTTTTTCCATTATTTTCTATATGCTTTCTTCACTGTATTTCCTTTTCAATATTTTTTATGTTTTATTTGTTCCTAAGGGTCTATCAGAAACAAACTCTCTACCTTCACAAGGTAGGGGTAAGGCTGCGTACACACCACCCTCCCTTAGACTCCACTTGTGGGATTATACTGAGCATGTTGTTGTAACTAAAGTTCTTTGAATCACCTCAAAGTTTTTTTGTAATTTAAGTTTGTCAAGTGAAAAAGATTTTGCTAGCCCTCATCACACCCCCACCCACCCAAAAAAAAGAGGGTCAACTAGAATGGCCATATTCTGACAAAAATTTTAGGCAGTTATTTGTCTGTGCATTTATTAATCATTAGGTTCATCACATTTTCTTACATGAGAATATGCATGGAAACATTGTTACTATTGTGTGGATATTAATTATTGGACTGCAAAATATAGAATTTATTAGTTAGGACGATTCGCCGGAAGGTGGATCTTATCATTGTATCAAAGTGGAGAAAGTGGAATAAATCATGGAAGTGAGGTAGTAGTTTGGTTTCTAGCTGCTATATCCGGGTGTAAGTATGATCATCTCTGGCTAATAGTCCTGACTTTTCGATGCGATTTTGAGCACCTAAGTTGTGCATTTTAATTAGTGTAGAAAGGATTTAAATAATGTTTCATCACAATGTGCAACTAATTTGAAACTGCCCGTCTTGTAACGAGACAGGCTAGGTGAGCATGTTGCTGTCTCAAATAACACGTGAACTTGCCCGTAGGGCATTGATCTAGTAAGAAGTGTGTAGCTTGTGATGTGTGGATTAGGCGCACAAGAAGAGTGTAGCTTGTGATGTGTGGATTAGGCGCACATCACGGATTTGAACCGTGTCGTAGACAAAAACCTGGTATTTGGAGCGGACCCATCATCCAATGAGTTTTGAACCGTGTGCTGCTAGCCCTCGGGGATTTCTCAGTTATTGAAAAAAAACATGTAAACTTGATTTTCCAATTTTTATGTTTGTGGATTGTTTATTGAAGAAAGTTGGTTTCATTTCTAGTGCTCGGAGACTATTCATTTTTTGATTTGCCTAATGTAAGGTATTTACCATCTTTTTGTAAACATAAGCAATGTAATGGAGAAATCAAGAATCTCAAATACATCTATAAGTTTTACATTTCCTCTTTGCATTCCCCCCCCCCCCCCCCCCTTACACACATAT